CATTGTTAATGGATGTGGGACAACACCTATGTAATTCACACAGGGCAATCGAATTAATTACAAAAAACTTAACTCGAGTCACCTTGTGCACTTGGTTGAATATAGCTAAACTCGACCATCATTACAAGACATAAAATAATAATAGTTACACAATCGAGCTATACCTTGGTTGAAACAAGTTTGGCTTTGTATCATGACTATTGACAAACAAGAATCAATTGTAGAGAATTTCAGAACATAACTTTCGAGAATGACAGTTTATCTTGACAGAGAGATTCCATAAGAACTACATGTGAGCTCTCAATATGCTAACATGAATAAGATATTTGAAACCACATTGCATCAAAAAATAAGACTAACTCGATACAAACTCAAAATTATATTCACATCAACACAAGAAGAATTTAGTTTAACGATAACTTCCAAAACAATAACATATTTGGTAATAAATCCTTTATAAAACTTCAAAATCAAGGAACACTGTCAAAACCATACAACAAATACTAAACAATAATAACTAAATTTTCTTACGTTCTTGCTTTCAAGTACAACCTAGATGTAATCCACTAAACAAGAGCGTACTAAAATTTTCATATATTTTTCGCAGAAAACACAAAGGCTATTCGACATTAAGCGCTTGTTTAAGCCCCATTTTTTTTTTACTAAAAAATACATTTTAGAATAATAGATTGATATAGAATGTGTGGGTAAAAAATAAAGAAAAGTTTTGAATTTACATGTAATATTATTTTATTGAAAAATATGTAATTAAAAAGAAGCAAAAAGTGTATTTTGGAAAATAATGAGAATCAAACAAGGGCTAAGAACTCTAGTTACAAATCTAAAGGAACAAAATCAAGTTCAAAAAATAGGAACACCAAATAAAAAAGAGTAAAAATAAATAAAAAAATCTAAATTTTCAAAAAACCAAAAAATCAAACAAGCTAGAATTTTTTACCCAACATTACATGAGAAATGCTTGAAAATCTCATTTTTTTAGGAACATAAATATGGTCAATCATAGGGTTGGGCAAAATGTCCGAATCGAATCGAACCGAAACCGAATTGAGCGGGTTTTTTTAAATGAAATACCCGAACGGGTATCCGAATCGAGAATCGAATGGTTTGGTTCGGTTCTCGATTCTAGACCAAGAACTGAAGAGTCGAATAAGATCCGATTTTTTTTTATATTGGATAAATCAATTTCTTTTATTTTTTTCTAAACAAATTAATAATTTTTTTCTTATTAAATCTTATTAATTGAACAATTTAGAGTTTATTTATGCTTGTTAGTTGTTTTTTTTCAATTTTTTCTTGTATAAATTCTTAGTAGTTAGTAGGAAAAGTCAAACAACTAATGATTACATTAAATAGTTGGTAAGTATTATCAATACTTTAAAATATATTATTTTTATGATTTCGAATTTATATTTCTATGTAAACTTGAAGGTTTAAAGTAAATGAATTATTGATATGAATTATCGAAATTTTATTAGTAATATTTACTTTTTAGTATTTGTATTTGACAACTTATGATTTATATGCTATTAAATTAGGTTACGTTAATTTGTAAAAGTTAATATTAAACTTGGTATTTGTATATACTTTTTATTATTAATATTAGGTGTATTTATGTAGTATGATTTTCAACGTTAAAAAATTTAATTATAGTACGGAACCGAATAGAACCGAACCGAACCCGAACGGTTCCAGGTTCCAAAATTATATTTGGAACCGACGGTTCCATTTACTAAATATCCGAAAATTTCTGGAATCGAAAAAAATCGAACTGAATTGACCCGCGCCCACCCCTGGTCAATCATGAAATTGAAACCCTAGATATGATTTTTTCCCCCTCAGCTTTAAATCACAGCCAACCATAACACAAACAAGGCACAAATTATTCGAAATATTTAAATCTAAAAAAAGTGAAAATGTTTGATTCGCCAGCGCTTGTAAAAGTGCTCGGTCCTTCTTTTTCAGCCGAACCGATGACAGCGGTGAAGAAGTATTGCATGGATTTTCACAGGCACAACACATTGTGCATTCAATTTGATGCTTTGATCCCACCCCTATAGAATTTGCAGTTACCAAGAAGTCATTTTTTGAAGAATAATGCTACTTATACATAATAAGTTACATAATTGTTTACATATAGACGATGTGTCAAACAAAAAAAAATTCGGATTTTTTTAATTTACTTGAATAAATTCTGATCCAATCATATCACTCCACACTATGTTTTTGTAAACCATTATGTAAACCAATTATTTACATGTAGAACAACCGTTTTCTAAAACTAATAATATCATAAAAATTGTAAGAAAATAGAATTTTACTATTTGAGATTTTTTTTTCATTTTTTAAATCCCAAAAAATGTAGGAATTCAGAGATAGAATTTTTACTATTTTTTCGTGGGAATTAAGAAAATAATTCAAGAATAGAGAAAGATTATGTATTTGATGAGAGTAAAAGTATAGTAGCAGACCGTGGTTTGCCCTGGATTCAAATCAACTTTAATTAAGGACATTTAAGGTATTTACATTTTTAAGAGGACAAGAAGTCCTAAAGTGACAATTTTGTCAAAATTATTAAAGGCGGTATTTTTGAAAATGACGACAATCATGAAATCTCAATGTCATTACTGTTCATGAATACAACACCTCAATAATTATATGATTTCTCAACGTGCATTTCATTGTACCCTTCCTTAGAAATTATATGATTTTTGGCTCATATATCAACATGTAGCATCAGTAGATATTTTAATTTATATTGTTTAATTTATATCAACATGTAGCATTAGTATAAATTTTAATTGTTTGTGCTTTATAAACTTAATATGTTTTGAAACTAGCAGTTATTGCTACTGTTGCTAGAGATGAACTGCTAATTCTAAATGGTGACATTTTTTCGATCGGTTTTATAAGATTCTTTGAATGATTGGGTTACAAGACATTGATACAACATTTCATGTGGATGAACCACCTGTTCCCACAATATCAAGAACGATGAACTGGAAGCTTGAAAATGAACGATATGGGCGATCTAAAGCTTATTTTTGATTAAATCTCGTAATAGTAAGAGCATCTAGGGTTCAATCCTTAAAATCTAAAAAGGATAAAATGTTAAGAGTTCATTGAAGAACAATTTTTTAGTTTTGATAAGGTTTTGGCTAGTACCTTAATAAAAAGACTTTCAAGCAAAAGCTTTGACAAAACTAAGGGTATACAAAACATATATTGGAAATGAGACACTGCCGCTCGACTAAAGTCCTTCGAAATTGAAATTTAACTAAAGTCCTTCGAAATTGAAATTTCAGAAACCTTTCTGGTTTATTTTGTATCGAACTTTTTACATACAAAATACTACTCCTTCAAGATATCTTACAACATGCTATTAGGAAAGAGTTACTCTCCTTTGTCCAGTGGAATAACTGTCAGAATTCATATAGGTGCTGCGTTGACAACACATGTATGATTGCATTTTTTCTATTTTTTAGCCAACTCCTAATAATGAAATGCAACATTCCCTTGTAAATTTCTTGGCAGTGTTTTCTGCATACACCAAGCATGGTTCATTAGTAACAGTGGTCAGTCAATGAACTTTTCGACCACGTGTTCAAGAAGAGAAAAAAACTCAAGCATGAGAAATAAGAAAGTGCTCATCTTGTTACTTATGAAAAAGGATACAAGAAAAAGGCTAAACGTGGTTCAAATGTGAAGAAAGGTAGAGATGTGCCAAATTGCCAGTAGAGGATCATGACAACAAGTACACACTTCTTTTGCAAAGATAAGAGTCACATGAAAAAGGGTTGTCTGAATAATAGGACATGACTCAATAGTAAAGGTTGTTGGGTATTTTGACCCAACCAAAGCAAGAATACTGAAAGTAAACGATGAAGCACACAGAAAAACAGCAATAACATAGGAAGTTCTAGGAAAGTGAGCTAACATTTTGACAACTAGATGCGCTCAACTGTGGAAGCTATGGCAACCTTTAAATTTTGTTTTAAAGAGTGAATTTATTTTGGACCTAGAATGTTTCGTCTTTGTCAAGAAATTTACTTTTCATTTCTAAACTTTCAAAACTAGGATTTTAGCTTTCCTTTCGGGGATTCTATGTTCAATATTTTTCAGGATAAAGTTGTCGGTAGTAGATATTTGTTTAGAAATTTATTTAGCGCTTTGGTAGGAATTAAAATGAATTATAGTCACATATTTCATATATCTCACAATTTTTTAATCACACATTTTATCAATATTTATTAAAATCTGATTTTAATTCTCACCAAATAACGGCTGTTTTGGTTTAGATTCTACTTATCAATATAATTTTTAACGCACAATGGATTTTCTCATTGTATTTTTTAGGAACTCTACTCAACTCAATGTTGTTATAGATATACAACTTCAAAAGAGTGATCTATTTCTCAATTAAATATTATGTTGCTCATTTGTGTGGCTTAGCTCATGTTTGACAGTCTTTAATTTATTTCTCATACTCATTTTCAACTACACATTCTCTGAAAAAATAATATTTAAACCATAATTTTTTAAAATAAAATGCCACCAAACAGGGCTTTAGTTACGTGACACGAGTGGAACATCCCAAGAATTCATAATTCTATAATTCATTTTAAATAATAAAATAAGGATTTAAAATTTATTCCATAAAGAGCTTCGAAAAGCGTGATACGTGTGATTTGTTTATTCTATGTTAGCTCCCGTTGCCGTTTGTGTCAATCCAAATTCCCCCATTTTGAACTGAAATCGTAATATTTTATGCACCTTTCCGCAGTAAATGCGCTTTTATCACTAATGGTATAACTGAATGGAATTGGACGTGAAGAAACCAGAGGCGATTCCGTATCAGCCAACGAAATTCGTTTCTTCCGTCAGCTCATAATCTCCTCTCCTTCACTCTATCCTGAATCAACAGAAAACACACGCACTCAAAGCACTGCACTCCACACACACACACTCTCTCTTTTCCAACAATGGAACTGAGCTTAAAATCTCAATCCATCTCTCTAATCACATGCAATCCAACGTTGTTGCCTCTCTCTCCTCGCAGCCTCCGATCGCAGAATAGTGAATTTATCAGCTTGGGTCACAATCTCCTGCCGCCGGGGAGCCTTCGTTCCCGGAGAAAATGTAGGAGTCAACGTTTTAAGTTTCATACTCATGTTCATAAATTTCGGTTCAGAGCGTCGCTCGAGGCTCAGCCGATTCTCGTGGCCTCGGCTGTTGTCCTCTCCGTCTCTGCCATCACTTTAGTTTATCTCAGTTATACTACAAAACAGATACATATCAAACAGGTAACCGAATTTTTACTTATTAGTTCTTAGTTAAAGGAATTATGAATGTTAATGGAAATGGAAATGTGTGAAATGTACTGTGAATGTTTCGATTTTTGAATTGGAGTTTTATGTAATTCTGGTTCTGTAGTTTTGTGATTTCGTTAATTTTGATTGTTTTCTCAAATTATGTCGGTGAGGGATAAATCTTTTGTGATTTGTTGTTAGTACCCTTGTATGTTTGTTTGCGAAATCTGCATGCACTCTATTGTTGGTGAATGTGTTGGCATAATGCCCTAACGTAAGGCTGTCTAGGATTTGATTAGAGTCTATGTTGAATTGAGGTTCAGTCAGTTGAATGCGAATCTTGGTGTTCAATGAGGATAGCGATTAGATTGGCTATCAGTTGCATAGTTACTACAGAATGCTCACTGTCTTAAAGTAGTCTTTGCATGGAGCAACTCAAAGTAGAATACCATAGCAATAAAAATTAGGCAAAACCTGTCTAAAGCAATGCTCTCACTTTTCCAATATAATTTGGTAGTTATATTGGTTTAGTCTTGTTTAAGTTGAAACCTACTTTCTGATGTTTATTCTAAGTGTGTAGATGACAAGGCATCTGACTGTTGCATTATCCCAACAAATAAGCAATAGAATGAAATGGGCTGTTGGGCATTGGGGATTGCACAGTGACGATGTAGACAAGGAGGCAACTGCTGATGAGAGCAAAGATTCAATGAAAGAACTAAGAGAAATCAGCCATGATTACATGAAAACGGTGTCTGAGATGCCATCTGGTGAAACTTATAAATATTCAGGAGGAACACTCATCATGGATACAGTTGATTCTCACTCTAACATGGTTGCGTCAAGTGGCAGTGAATTTTTGTCCTTCAAGAAATTGGACGATGCAGATATATCTTCTGCACATTCTGCATTGTCTGAATTGGATTCACTACCTTTTGCTGCAGAAATGTCTGAAGGGCATTTGGATTTACATGGACAGAAAAATGTAGTTGCTTCTGAATTGTCAATACCAAATGTAGTTGTTGCTTCTGAATTGTCAATGCCAAATGTAGTTGCTACTGAATTGTCAATGCCAAATGTAGTTTCTGCTGAATTGTCAATGCCAAATGTAGTTGCTGCTGAATTGTCAATGCCAGTGGTTAAAACAGAGCCCACTACTTCTGCTTCTACAGCAAATAATTTAACGGGAGAAGCAAATCAACTTGAAAGACCAAATTGTGAACTCTCAAAAGAGAGTGAAAGCCATGATCTTATTCTTGGGGGCTCTGTACGTGAAGGGCTTCATACATTTTATGAGGCATCCCTGGGAAACTCAGATGGCCTGGAAACATTGTCTTCTCGTGGTGCCCTACAGAAGAACAGCTTTGCGTTGCAAACAAAGAGTTTCTCTGTAGAAGGTGCCAAACTTCATGCATCAAATATTACACTCCCTACAGCTCGTGCCACATTACGTTGACTTTGTTTTTCTTTTTCGTTCTTTGACGTCTTCTTTGTCCCAACATGTTTTTTACCGGTCCATATTAGAGAATGGAGTTTCTATTCAACCCTTTATTTAGTACTGATCTGATGGAAACATTCTACTTTCTTCAGATAAATTTGTTAGGAAAGGACCTCTTAGATGCTTTAAGGAAGGTTCTTTCAGTGAGCAGAAAGACTCCAGGGGAAGGAAAGAATTAAAGACTGACAAGGAGACAAGAACTTCTCACCAAGATAGCACCAAATATTTTTTGCCATCCTCTGATCTCAAGGGGAGCCATGCTAACCATAGGCACAATTCTCTATGGCAGTTGCGTGTTTATCAACAACTTTTGAAGGAAAGCAGGTGATAAATTGTTGTTAAAAGGAATTATGTGCTTTGCATCCTTTCGATGAATATGTTGGTTTTCTTCAAATTGCTTGTTTGCGTGACATTTGTCACTATATTCTTCTTTTTCTTTCGGTGTGACTTTCAAAAATTATAGTGTCATCGAACTGCTTCTATTTGCTTAGAATTTAAAAAGTAATTTTGATTTTGACAATGCATTAATCTCATATCTTCCTATCGGAGCAATTGAGCACAAAGCTAGCAAAAGATTTTGTCAAATAAACCAGAGATATGAACAATCGGAAAGCATATGCTGTGTTTTCTTGTTTATTGGAATATTATTTTTCATTAATAAATATTGTACATCATTCATATTTCCTGGGTTGCAGGTTAAGTGATTGTATTGAAATGCTTGAAGATATGGAAAGAAAGAATTTATTGGATATGGATAAAGTGAGGCTGCTTCTTATACCTTCCTACTTATCAAAATCGTTAACCTCATCTTGTCTGTGATTTATTGATATTGATGGTTTCAGGTATATCACTCGAGATTTTTCCATGCCTGCAAAAGTAAAAAGGCTGTCAAGGAAGCTTTTCGTTTTACCAGGCTTATCCCTAATCCAACATTGAGTACATTCAACATGCTTATGTCTGTTTGTGCAAGTTCTCAAGATTCAGAGGGTAAGTTCTTTTGGCTGTCCAAAAACATTTGCAATTCAAGTATGCCAATGGAACCTGTGTTATGCATCAATCTCTAATCTATTTCGCCATACTTTTAGGAGCTTTTCAAGTTCTACAACATGTCCAGGAAGCTGGATTGAAAGCTGACTGCAAACTTTACACAACTCTGATATCAACGTGTGCTAAAAGTGGAAAAGTGGATACAATGTTTAAGGTTGATCACTTCATTTATTATTTCTGACCGCTAAGATACTACATATGCTTTTTAATGATGACTCAGATGTCCTTTCTACTTTAATGCCGGAATTATAAAACCTCTTCCTAGCAATATGGTATGTTAAATAATGATGTGGTTTCCACAAAATTCTGACGACTCCTCTTGCTACATGATATACTGAGTAATGATGAATCACTGGTGTTTGACTGTTGTAATCTATGCAAATATGTCTCATTCTTTTATACTCTAGTCTGTGAGATTAAAATTGATTTTCCCTGTTAGGACAGAAATAAAGTTGTGTTTTCTCAATGTGTAAAGCTAAGTCAGTTTATTGGGTTCATAAGGCACATAACACAGTTCTTACTATCTGATGTGCGACCTGAATGATGCACCAGCTTTGCTGGTCAAAAGTCATGATTTTTGTAATTCTCTTAGTTAACGTCATCCACCTGTTCTCTTTTTATGTCAAAATGAAGGATATTAATGGGACGTGTACCTAAGTGGAGGACAAGCTTCCTCAATTACAGAATTGGGAAAATCAATATGGTAAAGCTTAAGTACTTTATAAATATACAGCTAATAGCCCACAAAGGAAGACATGAAACTCGCCTATCCCATATGATGTTTATAAGCTTATGCTTCTTAATTTAATATCTCAGTGAGAGAGAAATTAGAGAAGAAATTCAGTTTATTTCATAATCAAATGTTGTCTTGATTACAACGCATAACCCCTTTATATTGGGTTTCAAAAACATGACTAAGGAAATAAATGATATAACAGTCATTAAATCATACTCTAATCCTGTTTCCTAAAATACGAATCAAAATAGGAAACTAAATAATTAAAATCCCTTATAATACTCTCATCACTTACTCTTGATTATTGGTCATGTTTCTTGTTAAAAATAGGATAAATTCCTCCAAGATTCCACAACCTTTCATAAGTGTGGCAGCTACATCCTAAACCTTTCAACACTGTGCACGTTATCCCCACCTAAAGGAAAATGTCTATTTAGTCATTAAATGGCCACATGACACACACATGATATCTGACTAATAAGGGATTTTTTTTTAAGTAGCATTAAGTGTAATTTAAACAGTCGCCATTTGGTTTTTATTAGAACTAAAATCTTTTTTGGACAATTCTACCCTTTCAGTCGGAAATCACGTGGTCTAAGTAGACTTTTTGTGTCAGGTGATGATACCACGTGCACAAATTTTAAAAGGTTGGGGATATAGGTGCCACATACGAAAGGTTGAGGAGATGGCTAATACATTATACACTTATGAAAGTTTTAGGAGGAATTTACCCTTAAAATTAAGGAGATAAATGATTACCTTTTCATTGTGAATTCCACACGTGTCACTTACTGAGTACTTATGCAGGGTATTCTATTACGTTTTCCCAGTCCCTGTTCGACTGTCATGCTCTCATAAAAGTTTCCTGAAGTTGTAGGTTTTTCATGAAATGGTCAATGCTGGAGTGGAACCAAATGTTCATACGTATGGCGCCCTGATTGATGGCTGTGCTAAAGCTGGGCAAGTTGCTAAGGCATTTGGTGCCTATGGAATACTGAGATCAAAGGTACAACTGTACAGCATATTTCATATTCTTTATTCAAGTGTGATTTTTCTCGCATTGTGATGGATCGTACCATGGAATAAGTCTTCATGACAATTGGTTGCATACAGTAGAATGTGAAGCCAGACCGAGTTGTATTCAACGCGCTTATCACTGCATGTGGTCAATCAGGAGCAGTGGACCGTGCATTTGATGTCTTAGCTGAAATGGGGGCCGAGGCACAACCGATAGATCCCGATCATATCACTATTGGTGCTTTGATGAAGGCTTGTGCAAGTGCTGGTAAGGTGAGGTTTGTCTAGTTATTGCCTGGAACAAGTATACATTGATGGTCTCTCTCCTTATTCTTATCCCGTTCTTATTCTAATTTAGGTTGATCGGGCGCGGGAGGTCTACAATATGATTCACAAATATAACATCAAGGGTACTGCAGAGCTTTACACCATTGCAGTGAACAGTTGTAGTCAAAATGGCGACTGGGAGTTTGCATGCTGTGTCTACAATGATATGATACAAAAAGGTGTTGCGCCTGATGAGGTAATTCTGTGAAGGCCTCTTTTATTGGATATGCATTGCTGGGTAATATCAATTGATTTTGGTTTTCATTATCTGGAAGTTGCAGTTTTCAGATGCCTAGTTTAATTTAGATTCGGCGACAGAGATTCATGTATCTCTTTTTTGGTAGCTATAATGGAGTTGTTTGATTTACTTTTAAAAGGCTGCAGTCTCCTGTATAATTTCCAATTAAGAAGCAAGTCAAAAGACTTGGATAGACCAACAGATGGTTGGTGGTATTCAAGTATGTGCTATTTTTAAGTTTTGCTACGAAATGTCGCTCAAATATCCTTAATGGTTAACAAATAAAATCTTGGGTTTGTCACTGTGAGCTTTCTATTTTTACGATGAAATTAAGTAATCAAAACAGTTCATTTTTTGTGGAAAAGTGCAATTCGTGCAATAAAACTGCATCTCGTGCTGTTAATATTTTTCAGGTTTGGAACCTTACTTGTAAATTTGGAAGAAAGACATTGCTTTAGCTCTAATTCCTTTCGATTCGATCAAGTTCATCTCTCTTTGAAATTTTTAAATGTTAGAACTCCATATCAGGCTTCTATTGAATGCTTTATATGTTCTCAGAGATTTCATCTTTGGAGGTGTTCTTGAAATGTTTTCTGATAGCAAGGACTTACCGCATAGATATGCAACTATAAAATATTTTTTTTACTTCAAGTGAAGAGTCCAGCATATTGTCCTCCTTTTCTTGTTATGTCCTTTCTTGATTAGATAATAGCATCGATTCCCCATGGAGAACTTCATCTCTGGTCTGATGGGTACTAATTAGTTATAGATGGTAGCATCTCTTATAGTAACCGTGTTATAAAATCAATTTTTTTTTCAACAGATTTTTTATGTGAGGGGCACATGTTAATCTATGTTAATTTGTTAATTTGTGATTCGGATATTTCTTTCTAGTTTCATTTGGTTTGTTCAGATGTTCATCAGCGCATTGATAGATGTCGCTGGACATGCTGGAAGGGTGGATGCTGCGGTTGAAGTTCTTCAAGCTGCTAGGACTAAAGGAATGCACGTAGGAATCATATCATACAGCTCCTTGATGGGAGCCTGTAGCAAGGTATGTCCCGCCAGTCAAAGGATTTGCATTATGTTTCCTTTAGGTAATATTTTACTAATCCGAGCTTTTGTCTGGTTAGTAGGGATTGAACTAGGGTTTTCACCAATTAGAAGTTGCCTTTATTTGGAATGACTTCTTAGATTAAAAGTTGGCTTTGGGATTTAAATTGTGGTTTTGAATGTGGAAACTTCACTTGGTACCAGTTTCTTGAAATATGCTGGATTCGTATTTTGCATTGGAATCTTAGCATTTATGCGCCAAAGTGTTGCGGTTTTGAACAATAGAATCCTTTTCCAGTGCAATACAAGAAGGCAATGACATGATGAGTTCCTCATCTAACACAGACAATTTAGGATGACTGGACTGAATTATATGTCATTCAAATGGCTTGCTTGACTATATGACTAGCTATCCAGTCAGAATTAGTTTTTTTTTTTTCTTTTTCCCTCTCTATTACTGTCTTTTCGTTGAAGTTAAAATC